CTGTTGGATAGATCACATGTGTTGTGATTCAATAACAGCCATACTTTCCGCTGTTCAAGATAATGATGACAGGTAGATAATTAGTTATTAGCCGTACTGCATTTTAATTGTAGAAAGCGCAAATCTGCCATGAATTATTAAAATTAGTAAGACCGCTAAAGCTCAAATGAAAGTTTTAGGTCCACAATTAGCAGATTTGCACTTTAGTGGGCTGGTGCCCACTACTGGCATCTGTTATTCTATTCAATTGATTATTAATAAAATTTAATATAAAGTTCATAGGTGAGCATAGTTCGACCAGGAAACAGCCATTCTTTTAGCAGCAGGCAATAAATGAGAATGAACACATTTTCTTTCTGCTTGAATAAATAAATTAAAAAAAAACCCACAACTCTACAGCTGCTAAAGATTCTGCAAAAACCTGGCTTGACTCTAACCATTAAATTTGTCTTCACTGACGTTTCTCACAAGTCCATAACTCAATTCAGTACACCAAAGCAGAACATTATTTATATAGCATAAACCTTAATCCACAGAAGGTGATCTACCGATGTCTTTATTTACTGCAGCTCCCCCTCTGCTCCTCGCCTCACAAATGGTTTTCAATCTGCACCTGTGGAACTGCAGATTAGACAAGCAGAACTGAATGTGCCGAGGCATTATTGCATTATTTCTTTTTCATTACTGAAGGCAGATTGTATACAGCTCGCGAGCGTGCAAAATGCTAAACAGCACAGGGTGGCTCTGCCTGGTCCTTCGACATGCTGCCGTCCTCACTGTATTTTTAATTATAGACAAAAAAACGTAGCTGATCCCACTCAGTTTGGGCAAAATCCTTTATATTCTTCATAAAGCTTGATCTATTACTGATCCTCTGTTTTTGAAGATTGGAGCAGACTTTTTATGACTTCTAAAACAGCTTTCCCTTTCCTGCTAGTGCGTTTTCTCTTTATTTTTATTACCCACAGCCGCTGAAGGCGATAACGTTCTTACCTGTGTCTGTGCGTGTGTGTGTGTGTCTGTGCGTGTGTGTGTGTGTGTGTGTGTGTGTGTGTGTGAGGACACTCACAGCAGAGGACTTTGATGCAGGCAGCGTGCAGATTGTTCTCCGCACGAATCAGTGATCTCATGCCGATGACTAAAAGATTTCCGAAGCATGTGAAGAAGGCCATGACCCAAACAGACACGCGCAGCACCATGTTCGCCAGAAGGTCCTCGAAGGACGAGATGCCGTCTGTGTTGGGCTTGCAGGACCTGACGTGAGGGGCGTAGGAGCAGTACTGGAACTTCTTAAAGTAGCTGGCATTTAGATGACGTGATGGGAAAAAAAGAAGGCGTAAGGAACAGGGATGAGTTGGTCAGACAAATGAAAATAGGATCAATTCAGCAGCATTGAAATGATACGTACATGTGAGAGAGATTCTTCATGTGGTGAAACATCTTGGTCTGGATATCTGGGATATCGATACCTTCCACAGACCTGCAGGATATCCACACTTAACCACCCTAATGAGGACATGTTTGCAGTACATTTGAGCTGCACCTTCCTTTTTCAAAACTGTTTAGGATTAGGCTTTAAATTTAAAGAGATTGTCCAGTGATTTTTAAAGATGTGTCAAACAGTTTATGATTACTATATAACGTGAACCCCCATTTTTTGAGCTTAAAAAGGATAAAAATAAAACCCTCATGCATTAAAACTAGGGGTGTAAGAAAATATCGATACACTGAAATATCGCGATATTTCATTTCCCGGTACTGTATCAATATTCTAAAGCCCTGTATCGATTTTTAATTAAGGTTTAAAATGTCAACCTTCTTGCCAACCRTTCATTTTTATGTTGTAGTTCAGCCTCTGACCACTAGTTGGCAGCAGTGAGCCAGCCATTTGGCTCCTCTACCTCTTGAGCGCCAGAGATTAAGGGTGGCATTAGCATTGTGAGTAAACATTAGCTTTTCTTTTTTTTTATTTCAGTAAGAGGTTTTTATTTAATAGAATTTTTGGACAAAAAAAATCACAATATATCGCCTTGCTTACAGTATCGCAATATATCAGGATATATCGTATCGTGACCCCTCTGTTATGAAATGTATCATATCGCCAAATTCTTGCCAATACACAGCCCTAATTAAAACCCGTAAATTCATACAGACTGGTGAAATGGGTTGTCTCCGAACAGACTGCACTTATTTTTTTATCCAACATGACTTTTTCTAACTGAGGTGGTGTCTATATTCCAGGGGGCGTGGCCAGGTCCTGGAGATTTTTGATAAAACTTTTATATGGTTTCATTTCTAGGATCAAAACTCTGAGAATCTAATAAAGTTCATTGTGTCTATAAAATCAATCTTAATACATTTTCCTAATTACTAGACACTTTTTTATTTTTATGTCTATACCAGGGGTGGGCAATCCTGGTCCTCGAGGGCCGCAGCCCTGCATGTTTTATTTTTTTCTCTGCTCAAACACACCTGATTTGAATGAATGGGGGATTATCAGGCTTCTGCTGTACGGAGGACCGAAACGGACATAATTAAAAATAAAAGCGGAAATATATAAATTGACTAAGAAATAAATAAACAAATACTTAAAGTGCACCAATATAATTCAAAAAGGAGAATTTTATTTAAAGTATATATATATACACATATACATATACATATGTACAGACAGACAGCTAAATAAATAAATACAACTAAAAATATACCATTTTAATTAAAAAAGGGGAAATTTACCTCACGTTTTATAGTTTAATTGACCTTCACATTTATTTTCCAACTTAGTTCCAACAAATAATATATTTTTGCAAAAAAAACCCATAAAATGTAAATTATGTGCATATATATATATATATATATATATATATATACACAGTATATACTGTATATATATATATATAATTTTTTAATTATACATTATACATTTTATATTTATTATAATTTATTATTTATTATAATTTATTTATTTATTTATAATATATTATTATATTATAATTATTATAATTATATATTATATATAATTATATATTGAAAAACAGTAAAAACATTAAAAAATAGTAGAATGTAAATTATGTGCAAAAATTTTTTATTAGTTGGAACTAAGTTGGAAAAATAAATATGAAGGTCAATTAAATTATAAAACATGAGATAAAGCTCTCCTTTTTAATTTAATTGGCATATCTTTAATTGAATTTATTTATTGGTCCATTTATATATTTCTGCTTTTTTTTCTAGTTATGTCAGTGTCGGTCCTCCATACTGCAGAACTTGGACGAGGTAATTCAATGTCTGAATCAGGTGTGTTGGAGCAGGGAAAAACATAAAACCTGTTGGGCTGCGGCCCTCGAGGACCAGGATTGCCCACCCCTGGTCTATACAGACATACCTGACATGTTTCCACGAGTACTTCCRTCTTCATCAGAGGTGTCACAGCTGATGTTGTTGGCTTGTCAATATACTGTATATTGGTGAACCGACGCCGCCTCCTATCAACATCAGCTGTGACACCTCTGATGAAGATGGAAGTACTCGTCAAAACATGTCAGGTTTGTCTGAATAGACATAAAAATAAAAAAAGTGTCTAGTAATTAGGAAAACGTAATAAAATCAGTTCAGGGTTGTTTTGTACAAGACTTTGCATCCAACAATTAAATGTGTAAGTCTAAATCTGAATTGATCTCTTGGTTCGTGCTTCGGCTGCAAAGTAAYGACGCGGTTTCTTACAGTTTTGGTGACCCCGACGTGATTTCTTACAAAGCTAATGTGCAAAACTGGAGGTTTAATATTAGCTAATCTAACAAACTGATCATAACAAATTTGGAGAAACAGATGTTTTAAAAGGCTGAAAATCAAATGTGGCCTAGTTAAGCTTTCCTTTATAATTTATGACTGAGGTCACGACTCGTAAGGTACTGGACACTGGAGCTGAACACTCCTTTAAAAATCATCAGAGTATTCCTTCAAGTTTAGTGTGAGGAATGGGTTCAGTTTGGTGTGTAAATAGTTTCGGGTTTAGGGGCTAAAGACACTTACAGAGACTGAAGACGTGTCAGGTGGCTGACGTGGCTTGGTTGAATTTGAAGAAGAGGATTGTGTGATATATTTCTGAAGAAAGACATACAAAATGAGTTTTAATACAATTTTTCTCAATTAAAGGCGACATGGTGTTAAATTAAATGAAGCAAGCAAATTAGTATAAGTCCGAGGGCAGAAACAACAGTCTATTTCCTGAAAAGCAATGTGTTTTGTACCATCATTGTTTGAGGTGAAACATTTTTTTTCTACTGTCAACCTTTTAAAAACAAATCAAAGTGAAAATACACAACATTAAATTAGATTAAATTATTAAAATAATTAAATTGTGACCAAATAGGCAAACAAACAATTGAGGTATAAATCATGTCTTTGATTTTTAGAAAACTGAAACAAACATGTACGCTTGAAGTCCTCAAAAGAAGAAAGATCCTAATCTGGTGAAAATATATTGAACAGACTTCAGATCCAGAACAGAAACCATAAATCTGATCACAAAAACAGACTGGATGTCAACTTTAGGTGAAACTGATGGCAAACAACCAGAATCAAACTCTCCAAACAGATTCTTCATAAACAGAACTTCATAAACAAACCATTTAATGTCATTAATTGATCTGTGATATTAAGCGTTTAATTAAAATCTGCGCAGTTTCAGGAGGAACATGTGGGAAAACTTAACTTAAAATTGAAAGCTGATCATGCAAAAAATAGATTTCCTTTTAATAATCCTTTTTAAATTTATTGCACTTCTGATGCTTTTGTCTCAGCTGGATGACTTTGTAAACACATAACGGCTTCTATGCGGCARTAAATCTACGCTTTAGTTGATTTATTTTACAGTGCTGCCGGTTGGAGTTTTGAACATGAGTGGAAAACATTTGCTTCAACAGAGCTTGTGTGAAAACGTATTTGGGGTGTCGGTTTCTAATAGGATCAGCAATTTATAGTGGGAACAACACAACACACTCAGTCATTTGTCTTAAATCTGGAGCTCCCAGTAGCTTTTAATCTCTTACACTTACACACAGAAATGTGGTCTCCCATTGAGCTGCGACCGTTTGGAGACTAAAACACCAAATTTCGATATAATAAGTACGTTTACTGAAGTCTCACTGATTTTTGAGCGTTTGCAGACGAGCTAAATCATGCAGCTGCCTTTTCAGCCGCCAGTTTTGGAAAAACACGACCCTTTTTAATGCTTGCAAAACACCATTCTTGGCCTCGTTTTCCCACCCCTACGATTCTAGCTCAGTCTGTCGGAGTGCACTGTCAAACTAAAGAYGTCATTTATTATCAGCGTGGTGTTTAGATCAGGACATTTCTCACGGATGTTATCCATCAGATCCGATTTCTAGCTTTCACGAAACAGGCTGGAAGGCGACTCTGTGACCGTTTCGAGAGAAAAGGTTTGTTGCAAAAAAGTTTGGACGGCGTTCAAAACTCGAGTAAAGTCGGGAAGGCTGCGAAAGTTGTCAAGACATTCTAGAAACTCCCTCATGAATGCCATTTGCCAACTAGTCACCCTGTGGTGCACCACCTTAATGAAGAGTTGTATTTTATTCTTCTTCTTGGCAAAACCAGACGTCGGTTACTCACAGTTTGACGAGGGTTTTGGAGAGGCTCCTAAAGGTGTTCTTTGGCAGCTTTTTAATCCTGTTGCTGGACAGATTCCTTGACAGMATGGAAGAGAAAAACAAAGGAAAACAAACACAAACGTAAAGTATTTAGAGATTTATTTCCTCAACATCTAGTTTAACAATCACATAAAGACCTAAAGCAAGCACGGTCTTAAAATGTATGTTTCCATCGAGTCAAGAAATCTATTTTTATCATTTTTTTAGGGCTGTGAAATTAATCGAGTTAACTCTGACTAATTTTAGTGCTRCATGGGCATAGATTAAAAATTTTAATCGCGATTAAAATTTACATTCACTTTACTGTAGGTTTGTATATTGCAATGCACTCAGTGCATGCCAGGTCATGTTTGTAAATGAGAAGTGGTTCTCAAACAGTTTACCTGGAGAAATAAAGTTTACACAAAAAAAACRTGTAACACATTATGTACAGTTTTTTTCCTTTTTGTCTTCTTATGCCTTTTTTATTTATTTATTTATGTTTTGCTGACAACTGTGACCTTCGTATCTATCTTTCATTCCTCATGTAGTACTCATTGGGAATGAAAATCCTTGATTTCTTGATTTAACCTCATTATTCTGCACAAAATTTAACTGACTCAAATATGTTTGGGGCATTTTTTAGGTCCTGATTTTTGTTGTTTTTGTGCTATCGAGGTGATATTTTCATGATTTATTATTGTTGTGTGTATTTCTTAAGCACCAAATTTTTTTCAAAATAAAGACATTACTTAATAACTCAAGTAATTTATTATACCAATAAGATATAAAGTTTTATATGAACTTTAAAGGGATCCTGATTAGTTGTAACATTAGACTTTATTTGATAAACATATATTTTAACTGTAAAATGAATACTGTAGGATGTTTAGTTTTTATAATTTTTTAACTAAAAGTTTAAAAATATAGTACACGGACGGAGCCATTTTATTTACATGCAAAGCATTCTGGGTAAATGATGACATGGATAGGTCCTTGGTGCATGGCTGCTAGCGAGCTATATCCACCCTGTAGGTTAATCTTGGACAATATCTGATGATCGACTCTTTTAAATGAAACCAGAGAGC